CCCAAAAAGGTAAAGAGGATGGATGGTATGTCTAAATGGGGTGTCTCGATCAAATGGGGGCCCCCAAATGCGGGGCAAGTTGGTGACGGGCGGTGAAAAGATTCACCTGAGGCAGAACAAAGGAGATAGATGACTGACGGCACTGCTAGGGAGTGGCAGGCAGGGCAGCAGAGAAGAAACGTCTGCAACGAGGCCGTGGGTGGGGCTGTTCTTAAAGATCATGAACCGGGCGCCTGGGTGGCTCAGCCGTTAAGCGTCTGCCTTCGGCTCAGGTCGTGATTCCGGCGCTGGGATCGAGCCCTCCATTGGCTCCGTCCTCTGCAGGAAGCCTGCTCTCCCTCTCCCACTCCTGCTGCTTGTATTCCTGCTCTCGCTATCTCTGTCTCTGCCAAATAAATAAAATCTTTAAAAAAAAAAAAAATAAAGGGGAAGATGAAGAGGTGGGGGGTGGGAAAGGAATGGAATCTTCCCTTTTTTGGTAACTGCCTAGTTTTAAGTAGCCCATTGGCCAGGTCAGCCCATTGTGGCTATTTTGAGGTGGGTCACCTGATGGGCCTGCCTGTATTCAGCCAGTTGGGTCACTGTGGGCCATTTCTGCATTTCTACCCAAGCCTGTTTGCCTAAAATCGGCCTCTACAGATGGGATGAGATTTGGGTCTATTAGAGGTTGAGGGATTTCCATCTGATAGGCTCTATTTTTTTTTTAACCTACATATTTACATTTTTATCTACATATTTATTTAGAAATCTTTTTCTTGGGGCGCCTGGGTGGCTCAGTCGCTTAAGCGTCTGCCTCCGGCTCAGGTCATGATCCCAGGGTCCTGGGATCAAGTCCCGCATCGGGCTCCCTGCTCCGCGGGAAGTCTGCTTCTCCCTCTCCCACTCCCCCCTGCTTGTGTTCCCTCTCTCGCTATGTCTCTCTCTGTCAAATAAATAAATAAAATCTTAAAAAAAAAAAATAAATCTTTTTCTTGGTATAAATTACTCTAAGACATTTAAAATTTTGTGGGTTCTGGTTTCAGGTCATGCTTAGAAAGTTATGCCTATAACAAGATTGTAAATTTTGGTATCCAATATTTTCTTACATCTTTGTATTAAGGTTAATTTTATATGTCAACTTGATTGGACATGGGGTGCCCAGATTAAACATTTCTGGGTTGACTGAGGGTGTGTCCAGAGGAGATTAGCATTTGAATCAGTGGATACTAGAAGATTGCCCTCCCCTATGTGGGTGAGCATCATCCAATCTGTTGAGGGCTTGAATAGAATAAAAAAGGCAGAGGAAGGAGGAATTCACTCTTTTTTTTTCCTGCCTATTTGACCTGCCACACCTCTCATCTACCCTTGGATTCAGACTGAATCACACCACTGGCTTTCCTAGGTTTCTGTTTGTAAATGGCCCATCACCAGACTTCTCAGCCTCCATGATCACAAGCCAGTTTCTCATAATATATATGG